CTCTCATCTGCATACTGCCCAAACCACTGAAGGGACATGTGAGCTGACAACTATGAATGTGCGTTTGGGGATAATCAAATGACACATTTCATGTGAGGGCTGAGCTGGAGGCCCTGGGACATCTGGCTGTCATACCTTGGACACACGGGGCTCGTCAGATGTGAGGAGATGAAGGGGGGAGGGAAGGGGAAGCGGACAAAATGAGATGCATGGGGTGTGAGAGGACACAGATACCGGATGAGGAAAAAACACTTCAAAATACCGGATCTCACATGGGGAGGAGAGACGCCCAGTCCATTGCGCCACCCCTGGGAGTGACAACAATCCGATTCCCGCAGTGAGAGTTTCATAGGAGGATACGAACTGTCGGCAATGAACAGCTCAGGAAAGGGAGAAAATGAACCAATCATATACGCATAAGGGTCTCGGACAACATACGTTCTTGCTAAGCATGAAGCTTGCCACGAAGTCCTCGCAGGCACCTGGGAGTGACCGAAGTCCTGGCCATACTTTCCAGGGGATCAAAGACCAAGTGCCCGGGCGGACGTTCTGACGTGACAGCTGGCTCTGAGCAGTGAGCTCTGGACGGCCCGTCCCAGCGCTGCCAGCTGTGGGCGGAAAAGACGGCTTGCAGGCGGGGCTTCCGGGGAGTGTATGTAGGGGGGCTTCGGGGGTCTCCCACACTCAGTCAGGACCCTGGAGTGCTCTGACTTTCTGGCTGAGGCCTGAAGCCTCCTCCAGCTCATCTTACCACTGTTTGAGGGCACAGACACAACCCCACTAACTGGGGAGGGAAATGAGGGCCCGATGGGCGGGCGGTGGGAAATGGAAATGCACAGATGACTCCGTATCCATAGCTGAGAATGGCCTGGGAAGAAACCGTTGGCAACTGCGTGTTTCGTTAGCATACTGACTGAGATAAGTCAGTCAGACGTGCGCGCTCAGTGCTATTTTGAGGAGGATTTACGTGCCTCCTCGCTCGGCAGCCCCAGATTGTAGCACTTTTTAAATACTTGGGACCATCTGGGGGGAAAAGTTGATTCACATATGACACCATTAACCAGGTTATATTCCAAATGATTTAAGAAGTTAATATTAAAATTTGAAACCACTAAAGTACCTGGGAGAAAAAATAACCTCTAACTTTCTAATGATGACTCAGAAAAGAAATTTATGGAGACATCTGACTCTATACAAGCAGCAGCATCAACACAGTCAAAAGGGATTAGGAAAGAGCTTTTGCAACCATATTGCTGACGAGGGATCTCTCTCTCGATTAGAAAAAGACCAACAACGCAAAAGGAGAATGAGCAAAAGACCAACAGTTTACAGCAGTGGCTCTCAACCTTGGCTGCACATTGGAATCACCTGGGAATCTTGTTAAAATCCTGATTTCTGGGCCTCATCCTCCGGAAATTCTGTTTCTTTGTTACTAATGATGAGGCCCAAAAATCAGGATTTTAACAAGATTCCCAGGTGATTCTAATGTGCAGCCAAGGTTGAGAACCACTGGTTTACAGCAAAAGGAAGACAAATGATCCACATGTGAGAGCTGCTCCACCTCACGCATCACTGAGAGCAAACGCACTGAAGCTCAGAGACACCACTTTTTCCACCACCAAGGTGAGCAAGAACACCAGAGCCTGACAGTGCCCGGTGCTGGGGAAGCTGCCCGGAACAGGCAGGCTCCTGTGTCTCTGATAGAGGCCGCCTCGGTAACCCATAATGTGGGGGGGGGGGGGGGCAGTGTGGCGCCATCCATCCACCATCCACAGTAAAACGGCCCTGGCCGGTGTGACTCAGTGGATAGAGTATTGGCCTGCAGGCTGAAGGGTCCCAGGTTCGATTCCGGTCAAGGGCACCTGCCCGGGTTGCGGGGGTCAATCCCCTGTAGGGGATGTGCGGGAGGCAGAGAGAATCAATGATTCTTTCTCATTATTGATGTTTCTATCTCTCTCGCCCACTCCCTCTCTGAAATAAATTTTAAAAAATATTAAAAATGCTTATGTTAAGAAAAAAAAGGTAAAATGCGCGTGGCTCGTGACACCGCCAGTGTCTTGCAGTTATCCTACAGTTGGACTTATCTATTTGAAAATGACACGTAAAGTTATTCACCAGGGTACTGTTTGCAATAACAAATGACTGCCAACAACCACAATGACAGCCGCAGGGGACGGGTTAAGTCAATCACCACACCTTTGTACAGAGGAACAGCAGGCTTCTGTGGAAATGAATGCCAAACTGCCCGTGCCCAGGGAAGAGCTCCACGTGGACGTGAAAGGAGGTCTGTGGCAGTGAATGGGGGTTGTGCAGTGTAGAGAAGGGGATACGGGTTCATACAGGGCGGGCACAGTAGGTTTAGAGTTGTTCTGTGGAAGTAATACAATAACTAATAAATAATAATACAAGAATGTACTGTTTAGAGCACTCACAGCTGGAAGCCAACTTCTGCCCTGCCCCAATTGGGGCGCACACACAGGGCTAGAAGAACAGACAGCCAACTAGGAGTGGTCACCTGTCTGCGAGGAGACGGGGGCGGGACGGTGGGTGGCAGGGTGGAGCTCTAGGGACATAGATATAATTTTAAGCGTCTTCCTTTTTGAGCTGTGTCTAGTACTAACTATTCAAAATTTAACAACTTTTTGAAAAATTAAATACTTGGGTCTGCTTTCTTCTGCCTCCAGGGGCATCATCGGCTACGACTTCTTGCAGCCCCGTCCTCCCGCGTGGGAGAGGATTAGGCAAGTGAGGTTCGACAAAGGGGCCAGTGGGTACCGCCCTTGGGGACGTGTGCATGGACTTGGCAACAACTATTTTAAGTGTTTGCAGGTTTAAACATTTAGGTGGCTTTTGAGGCTTTTCTCCTGGTTCCCTGCCACAGTGTGGAGGGAGACACAGGCCTGGAGAGGAAGGGAGAGTGGACACAGGAGTGCCTTCCTCCCGCACCCCAGCCTCCCACCCCCCAGCCTCCCGCAGCGCCTGGTGGAGGAGGAAACAGCCCCTGTCTGAAGGCTTTCCCCAGAGCAGTGGAGGATGGACCTGGGCCAGGAGGCGGCCACGGAAGCTCTGGGCACAGTGGGGGCGGCAGGGGTGGGTGGGTGGGTGGTGTTCAGTGCACAGAGCCCTCAGGAGGAACGAGGGCTGTGGCTCTGGAGTAAGACATCGCGGCTGGCAGAGTAGCTGCATAAGGAAGAACGGAGACTGAGGGCAGGATCTGGAGTGGTCGTCACAGCGCGCGGCTGTGTGAAGGGACAGGGCTCAGGACAGACCACCTAAGCGGGGAGGCACAGCCGAGGACTTCTCAGAGGCTCAGCTTCCTCGTCTTCTCAGTGGGGTCATCTGTTCCACACACAAAGCATTTTATGTTCCTGACCTCACTCAGAGTAGGAACTATCATTAGACCCATTTTCGAGATGAGGAAATTGAGGCCCGGAGGGTTTTGGTAAGTTGCTCAAGGTCACAGAGCCAGGAAGAACTGCAGTTAGATCCCATGTGTCTGGAGCTAAAGTCTGTCCTTCTGAGCTACCACATTACAGAAGGAAATGACATGACTCACAGCCGGGTGGGTTCTGTAGACACTGGTTTCCCGAGAGCGTTCTCAATTGCTAGACCTACAAGAAAGGTGCTTCCCCCAAGCCTCTGAGGAACGATGCCAGAGGGACTGAGCGGCTGTGACAAAAGACAGCCCCTCAGGACCGCAAGCACAGCGACAGCAAGCCCCCCTGCTCCTGGGCCAGCACGTCCGCGGGAGGGAATACAGTCCCCGGCCATGGCATCATTCCCGGAGAGGACTTAGAAATCGGGTTGAGTTACAGGAAAAAAACTCATTACATTCATAACGGACTAAGCACGAAAATTAGGCAGCGACGTGATGTCCAAGGTTCTCTCAGTTAAGATTCGATCTCTGACTCTAAGGCTATACAGAGGGGTTTCTGTTTCTGTTTTCGCCCTTGGAGCTTTGAAAATGGATTAGACACTGAAGACTCAGTAAGTAAAGAGAGGTCATAGAAAGAGTTGTGTCACAGTGTCAGAGGCTACTGCCTCCCCCTGTGAGGCCAGAACGGCCCTGTGCAGCGCAAAGAAGACAGAGCAGTTTTCCATCCAGCTTCCATAGTTCTGTACGATACCCCTGAGATCTCAGGGGCAGACCTGATTATAGCGGGTGGACAGTGAACATTTCACCAATAATCTGATTTACCTGCAGATTTTACATGGAGACAAATCATTCCGTGTAAAAATTCTAATAGAAATTCTACCGATTGGCTCATTGAAAGTAATAAGGGATTACTCACAATGTTGATTAATATTAAATTGCCAATTAAGATAACTAAAGTATTAATTGCCATATTAATAGTAAGTGATAAGTCCTACAGAAATCCCCTCAAGAGGCTCATGTGTGGTGACTAAGATTGCATAAGCACGACTTCTAAAGGTTTTTCTATGAATTTTCCAGGACACGCATTTTCCCAGTTACTTAAGCCTTTATTTCATTTTTACATTTCAGCCTTATGGAAAAACACATGATATGTCCCCATTTGTTCACTTTACTCTTTCTGTCCTACTCTTCTTCCCTAACTTCTCTATACATTTAGGTTTCTAAAAGATATTTGTCACTTGTACAGCTAAATACATGCAATGGGTTATTTTTTAACTTGCAAACATGCAAACATCTGAAATTTTGCAAAGGAAATGGATGCAATAGACATACAGACACACAAACAAAGAGCACCCCCAGTATGTCCCATCTTAGAAACAAAAAGCGCCCATAAAACAGCACAATACAGCAAAGCAAGCCCACACAGCACACACTTGAATTGCTACCAGCTGCCCGCAAAGCTGCATTGGTGTTTGCAAGTCTTACTTTGGGGCTGGGTGGGTTAGAAACAGGTGAGTTTGCGCATGTGCTGTCAAGAGGACTTTAATCGCCATGGCAACAAAACAAAAATCCAGCAAGCCAGTCCCAGCACAGAGATGCCCCCGGAAGCTTGACCGCCCCTCACCTGCTCCCCTTCTCTCCTCTCTCCCCAGAAGAAGGCACTTCACGGAAGCGTCTGGGAAAGCCCTTCGACTTTACTTTGTTACACCCTCTAAATGGACAAAAAAAAAAAAAAGAACAGGTGTAGAAGACAGCATTTTCAATTCACCACCAAGAGTTCCAACAAATGCCCTCCCGCCTTCTAACATGGGCACCCCCCTCCTCAGGCCTCCTGTCTACAGAAAGCGTACACAAAGGGGTCTGGTTTTATTTTAGTTTTTTATGCTGAGGTAAGCAACACGAAATGGGAGCTTTGCTCTTAAACGGCCATCTTCACATGTTAGAAACCTGCCCCCCTTACCCAGGGTTAACAGAAGGTTAGAACATCACAAACCAATAATGCCCTTTCTAACTCGTATGCCTCTTTCCACCTTAGACATGCTGTCCTGGCAAACGGGACGGCGTAGAACACCCTGGGAACGAACAGGACGTAGCAGGCATCCAGTGGCTACCCTCTGACCTCCCTGCTGGCCCCGATTTCCCTGGATTTGATGGCTTTTCCCCAGGCAGCCCTCTCCCTGCGGGACAGTCTTTCCTGACTCACAACTGGAAGGCCTGGGCGCGGCACTCAGGGGAGGGGGCCAGCAGCTGCTACCTCGTCCCGATGATGCACTGACCGTAGCCCCTGAGACCTGGCTCTAGCGTTGGAGAGATGCCCCTTTGTCGCAAGAACACTGGAAAGCACTTCTTTCATTTATTTGAACCCCTAACCACCTGGGCTCTCGGATGTCACACGGATGTCATTCCTATGATTTCTAAACTCCGTCCCGAGACCAGCAAAGACAACCTGGGGCAGGGGTCCTCAAACTACGGCCCGCGGGCCACATGCAAATACAAATACTGCATTTGTTCCCGTTTTGTTTTTTTACTTCACAATAAGATATGTGCAGTGTGCATAGGAATTTGTTCATAGTTTTTTTTTAAACTATAGTCCGGCCCTCCAACGGTCTGAGGGACAGTGAACTGGCCCCCTGTTTACAAAGTTTGAGGACCCCTGAACTGGGGTTTCCGGAGGTTCTCTTGTTGGGCAGCTCTGATGAGTCCCAGGCAGAACTCTGAGTTCAGGTGTGAATTCCAAAGAACACTGCTAACTTCTGATGGGCTTGGTGGCTTTTTACTTCTGGAATGAGGCTCCTCTGATTCTCAAGTGTTGGGGGGTTATGCTCCCTTAATATAAGCGTTCCTCTATTTTGATAATTATTAGGCTCCATATTGGATAAGGGTGCTTGGCAAAGGAACCAAAGTTGGGGAAAATCAAAACTTGGGACTCTGATGAATGGTGCGGGCGTGTGTGTGTGTGTGTGTGTGTGTGTGTGTGTGTGTGCGATTCCGAACTTCTTGTCTCCCTCTACTGAGCACGTTCTGGAACGACAGCTGTCCCCAAACACCAGGACCCTACTCCGTGCGGCTACAAACACTAATCTGAAGAAATCACCAGTGTGTTGGAGTGTTTTTGCAAATTTTCATAAAAACTTGAAATTTGCAGCTTCCTAAAATGTTTAGACTTCTTCGCAACCCTTAGCCTCCTCCGAATCCTGCCAGACTCGCTGTTGCGGGAGTTTGGAGCCGCGCCGGCATCTCCGCAGTTTCCCTCACACACAATCACAGGCTCAAAACTCCCACCGGCAACTGACAACACTTCGCTGCGAAGCAAATGCCAGCAAACCGACAACTAATACCTCGAACAATCGCGGGGCTACCTGAGCAAACCGACCACAGACGCCAGCAGTCCTGGGAGGGAGGACACTTCATTCTGAGAAATCCCAGGAGAGGTGCTGGGGATGTGCGTCGGGCAAGCACACGCGGGTTTGCCCCTCCGGGAGCGTGAGCTAGGTTCCAAAACATGCCCATCCACGTCTCCTTCCCAGAATCAGTCTGTCTTTCAAACATCACGAGGTTTCAGTGGAAACCTTTGCAGCGACTCTCTCCCTGCTTTTGTCTAATGACCACGTGTTAGCGGCTCCAAGAGCTGTGACTGTATCTCAGGGCCAAGGCGGCAGCAGGGGGCCGGTTACTATAACAACAGACAGTTCTCTTGAAATCTGAACAACTCTGTCCCCCGTCACCGCCCCCGCCCCTCCCCGCCCCCCCAAGTAGCCATTTGCGAGACAGTTATTGAGCAAAAAGTTGCCGGATCGGCAGCATGAGATGCCACGTGGCCCGGATCGCCCCAGGTGGCTGAGGGAGAAAGGAGGGAGAGGTGCCCACCTCCAGGCGCAGCTGGGGAAACCAAGGCTCCGCCCCCAAGCGTCTCAGAGGAAGGCAGTGTGGATGTGGTCATGCTGAACTCAAAGCCCAGGCAAGCCAGGCTCTGCCATCATGACATGCACCTGAGCTCTCCCCACGGGCTTCACACATGGTCAGGTTTGGGAGAGCTGCGTTATAAAATTACTCCTAGCCCTGGCTGGCTTAGCTCAAGTGGATACAGCGTCAGTCTGTGGACTGAAGGGTCCCCTGTTTGATTCCGGTCAAGGGCACATGCCCTGGTTGTGGGCTTGATTCCCAGTGTGAGGTGTGCAGGAGGCAGCCAATCCATGATTCTCTCTCATCATTGATGTTTCTATCTCTCTTTCCCGCTCCCTTCTCTCTGAAATCAATAAAGATATATTTTTAAAAAAGATTACTCCTAATGATTAATAAATTACTGAATTAGGGCCACAGGAAGAGGGGTTCCATAAAGAGGAGTGTCAGGTCCCTCACCGGCTCTAACAGAAAAAATGGTGCCGGAATACCTGTGTTCTGAACAGTCTGTTTGCAGAAAAGATAAAGGTGATCCCACAAAACCACAAAAAGTGTGACTGAGAGCTCGGACTTTTCTAGACTTGAGAGAAGTTGCATAGGAGCCTGCTTCCGTTTCCTACTCCCGCCCTCACAGGAGCGGCTGGGACTGACCCTGCACGGGCAGAACCCTGGAGGGGACTGGTTCTGCCCAGGATGGACTTCATCTCGCACAGAGAAGGGCCGTGTGAGGGTGTTTTCTCTCACCATCCTGAACGCCCCAGGACTGTGTGCCTCCTGGTCACTTCCGGCACTGTGCCCTCTGCCCAGAGCATTTGTCCTTTCCTCTGTTCTGTGAGAACCACAGCCAAACCTTCCCGTCCCCACGCCTTTCCTGGCTCGGTCTCTGCCCACCCCACCGCGCTGGTGGCCAGAGCGCCTCCCAGAGCAGTGTCTCCTGTTGTCACCACCCACCATTGCGACCTAACTACCCACAGAGGGAGGCCGGGCAGGGGTCTGTGTGTATGTGGGGGGGAGAGGGGGGCAGAGGAGGCAGACTGTCCACTGAGGGGGTGCCCGGAAAAGGGCCACCACGGGGCACTCGGCCAGCCCCCAGGGCCACAGGATGGGAGAACAATGCTGCAGCACTCCCTCTCTATCACACATGGACAGCTGAGGTTCGATGTAAAATCCTCCCATTTTTAAATCAATCCAGATTTTTTAAGGACAATGCCAGCTAAATAAAACAGGTCTGGAGGCCACCAGAGTTTCACCCCCGTTTGGGATAACCTTTGTCATCTGCTCGTCTCCTCCAGGAGCTACAAGCTCCCTGAAGACCGGAAGTCCGGCTCCTCACTGAACCCCCAGTGCCTGCCACAAACTGATGGCTAAGACATATCTCTGAATGACTGAGCGAAGGAGGAACACAAGGGGCTGCCAGAAAGGGTCTTAGGTCAACAAACAACAAAACTCCAGGTGTGAGCACCTCCAAAGCACACCAGCCGTGTGACCCTGGGCAGGTCACTTCCCTGCTGGGACCTTCCTCTGTGGGGAAGAGGGTGACACGGTCCCGCTGCCCTGGCTCGCACTCCTGGCTGTAAAATAATGTGGGGTGTGTGTGTGTGTGTGTGTGGGTGGGGGGGTGTTGTGTTATTCTTTGTGTGTGTGACCCGTGCTTGGTATTAACTCTACCCTGTGGGTCGCTGTGATTAGTGATGTTTCCCCTCGGCCGACTGTTCCCAGTCACCTGAATGGAGAACCCCTTCCTGCTGCACTTGTCTCCTCTGTGGCTTTGCTGGGGGAAGAGGAGCAAGTGTCCGCACTAACCCAGGCTCCACCGAGTGAACGGAAGCGCCGGCTGCCGGAGCAGATGGTGGAGAGTGTGCCCCGGCTGCAGCAGCAGCTCCGGGTCACTGCTGCCCCCCTGGGAATATGGGCGGGGCCCGTGCGGTCATTCCGTGAGCGAGAGGGGTGTGAGCACATGCCCACACTCCACACGCATCGTCTGTTTGCTGGAGCCTCCACTATGACACAAGCCCCGCACACATTCGCAGTCTGCACCCTTCATCCTTAGGCTGCTGTCTCCCACTGAACATCCAGGGGAGGAAAAAATGGCAATGTCCACAGAACCCACTTGTTTCCATGAACAGCATCCTTCATGAGGCAACACCAGCACATGGCAGCACTTCTGAGTCTAAAGATGGGAGTAAAGAGACACCTTTTTCTATCCGCCTCTGAAGCTAAATTGGCATCGACTAACTTACTACGGAATTTGCAGGGGGCTCGGTCATGCGCTGAGCGGGGACGTGAACTTCTCGTCCGAGCTTCCTCTAGCTCCGCACTTCAACAAACCTAGGTCAGATGTTACAATCCCCACTTAGGAGCTTCTAGTTTTCTGTTCCCGAGTCTGTGTAGTTCGATCAGCCCTATCGAGTCTCTACCCTTCCGGAAAGTTCTTTTCTAGGCTAGCATTATGGTCAACGAGACGCTCAATCTGTCATCCGGGGAGCCGGCACAAAACAGCTGGGACTAAGATAAAACAAACAGGTGGTATTACTCAACATCAAAATCTACTCAGCTTCTAGAACACCCGAACATACAGTTGGTCCTCTGACGTTTTCTTCCAGAAATTCCAAACCACAGGAGGTTGAGACACGCAAACACATGCACTATAAAGACAGGCTGTGGGAGGAGGTCAGTGCCTTCGGGCAGCCCACTCCTCATCCAGGCAGAGCAACGTCAAGAGAAAGGCGGTGGCAATGCTGTCGAACTGGCTGCCTTTGAATCCAGGACCCACCAAAGAGCAATCCTCTGACGTGGGCACGTCACCAAGCCTCCGTTTCCTGATGTGCCCAGTGGAGACCAGAATCCCTAGAACCTGAATGCGGATCAGGTAGGAATGCCATCTGCTGAGCACGTGTCTCGTATGACAAGTATCCAATAGAAGATTCCTGGCTGGTAGGCCTTCAGATACGCAAAACCTTTTCAGGGGTGAGACAGCTGACCAGAGAGCTACACTCAAAGCACGTTCCTCGAGACGACAGAAAAGCCCACCCGGTTACAAACGCCTTCGCAGCGCTCACAACTGTAAGTGGACTCCGTTGTCCCTCGCGAAGCTCTTCTCGGGGGCAGGTTACTAAGTCAGTGAGCTGCGTGTCCTAGCGCACAGAACGGACACCCTGCACACAGCGCTTCTCCCAGCATCCACCGCACACTGCACAGTGGGCACAGCCACCGTCCCTACCACACAGGTCTGTGGGAAGAACCACACGAGATGGTGCCACCCAGAGTCTTGGCACGGTGCCGGGCGCTAACCGAGAACTGGTGGACACTCGCAAGCACTAATGCCATTGTGCCGGGGAGGCCCAGAACTTGGCGACATCGGGGTTCATTTTCTACTCTTTCCTGAACCCGTGAAACGGCAGCGTCGACCCCTCTAAGCGAACACACTCAAGATCCAGAACAAGAGCTGCGCAGAGTCAGTCCTTGGTCCTAGAGCTGGTTTCAACCCTGGGGGCCAGGCCTGCCCACCGGGGACACGGCCAGGAGGCTGTGATCCGCCTCGGTGCCCTGCTATGCCAAGTTTGTTAATCGGTCACCCGCTCTCACTGGGCCTCCAACGGCGAAGAGACGCGCTGTCACTGTCCCTTCAAAACTGCACCGCCAGGGGGAAGCGCCGGCTCTTCGCATTTCCCGATTTCCTGCGTGAGCCCCCAATGCTCCCTTCCTTCGCATCAGTGAAAAGAAAAAGGACAGAAACAGGTCCCTGCCCCCCTAGGCTGTTCTCATGCTGAGCCCCTCATCCGTCCAAATGCCAGTTCAGCTTTGCTCTGAGAATGTTCTCCTTACACTCACTTGTGCACCAGCCCGAGGAATTCGGGAAAAGCTCAGAGGCTGCGTCCATGGGATGATGTTTAAAGCTCTGGTTCCTTGAAACCAAGCTCTGAATATACGAACAGATTCAGACACTTGTGTGTGTGTGTGTGTGTGTGTGTGTGTATATATATATATATATATACACACATACATACATATATAAACAAAGTGCAGAGTTGTCATTTTCTAATGAGAAAAGCACATCTTGGGTGGAAGGCTCCTCTCTCTAATCCATTTCACAGTCGCTTCCCACAAGCAGCCTGCAGTCAGCATGCATGCTGGGGCAGCCTGGTTCCGTCTGCTCGGCCATGGAGATCTGTTCTGGGCTGGGCAGAGGACCGGGGTGGGCCAATCAGAAACAACCGGTTTTGGCTAGAATCGCGTGGGCCATGAATTTTCATAGGAGGCTGCTAAGTGAGGGTCACGCAGCCTGTGGCAGCTGTGGCCTTTCCGTCCTCCGTGGGAACCTGAGACTAAACCACATGGCACAGCGCAGAGCACAGCTGCTCACGCAGACCTTCCACCACTTCCACGTGCTCAGTCACACCCACACCAGCAGCCTCCAGCTCACCAACGGGCTCCAAATGCTGGTGTGCAAACCACTTTGTTCTGGAGAAGGGATGAACCTAGTGTTCCCAGGCGCACCCTGAAACGCAGTGTCACTCCTAACCTGGCTGGTCTGTAGCATTAACAGTGCTGTGGCTACTGCTGGACGCCTGCGAAGCCCGAGATGCCCCCTTCCTGTTCCCTGTTCTACCCAACTGAGAGCAGATTGATGATCACGATCAGTCTGCCAGCAGCTTTTGTTGACCTTTAATCAGTTCCCATCACTTGACTGCAACCCTCATCTAAGCCACCACCTCTTCCTCCTTGGACTAGTGTAGGAGTCTCCTCGCTGGCCTCTCCACTTCTGCCCTTGATCCAACTCAGTCTCTTCGCAACACAGCAACCAAGGAATCCTGAAGCCAGATCGCAACATCCTTAGGTATCAAACCCTACTTATCTTAGAGCAAAAGGCAATGCGTTTACAATGGCCCACAGGGCTGCACTCAGCCCGACTCCCCTCTGCTCCGTTTCTTCCTGACACCCTCTCCTATCACAGGGAGTACGGGGAGGGTGGCAGATCCCTTGCTCTTCCTAGAATATGCCAGGCACGCTCCTGCCTCAGGGCCTTTGCACATGCTGCTTCCCTGCTTGGAACCTGTCCCAAATGGAGTGCATTTCCCTCTTCCTTTAGGTCTCTGCTCTAATACCACTCGCCAGTTACACCTCCCTTATCTACTCTGAACACGCGTCCCTATCCAATAACTATCTTTAGTCTCACTATCTTTTACTGGATATCTGTCATACGAGACACGTGCTAAGCTGATGGTGCAACACCATCTTGGGCGTTACCTACTTTACTCACTAGTGTTGTTTACTGCCTGTCTCCCTCACTGGGATGTAAGCTCTCCGAGAGCAGGGATTTTTGTCTAGTTTGGCTCATTGTGTATCGCCAGGGCCCAGAAGAGCGCCTGGCACACAGCGGGGGCTCCCAATGGACTGAATGAAGGAGAAGGAAGGAGGGAGGGAGGGAGGGAGGAAGGAGGAAGGGAGGGAGGGAGAGGAGGAAGGGAGGGAGAGGGGGGAGGGAGGGAGGGAGACGACACCTGCCCCTCACTGAGGAAGCTGTTAAAGGGCAGGAGCCTCCAGCTTGTCTGAGAGGTGAAAGCAGCCAGGCCGACCACGTGGGCCGCCTCCTCCCGCAGCTACACCTGGCTGAGGGGGTAGCTGAGAAACACCCCACTTCCAAGCGGAAGCTGCCAGCAGGCTTCTGGGGGAAGCAGTGAGACCTGGTCCAGGACACTGGTGTACAAGGATGGCTTACCACCAGCCATTTGTATCTCACGTGTCCAAGTGCCACAGAGCATGCTCAATGTGTTCCTATCACTCCATTTTCAGCAACGAGCTACAGGAAACCAAGGGGAAGAGGACTTACGCGGATGTGACAGTGAGGCACGGCCTCGGAGGAACCGGAAAGCCATGGAGCTCATTAGCTCGTGTGGCAGGGTTAGACACGGAAGCTCCACGTGGAGACGGGGCGGCACCGGCAAGAAGCAGGGCTGGGATCCGGACCCGGATCCCCTGGGTTCCCAAGCACAGCCTCTTGGGCACTAGATCCCAGAAGCTCCTCCTAAGTGCCCTGACCTCAGAGCCGCTCTACCCACTGGCTTCCTCCTGCTACAGCTCCCCCAGGTGTTGGCAGGAG